GGGGGGGGGGGAGCTTTGCCTGCAGATGTGTATTGAATAACATTTTTAGATCATTATAAAGCTTCAGCTACCTGTATCTCTAGATCTCTGCAGCTGTCCTTACGATACGCATTTTTTCTCATAAGGCAACCGAGTGATTCCGAGTTTTTGCATTATGAGCGCAATCTGAATTGTTTGGGTAACGCATGGTGCTAAGAGCAAGTTCATTTATTGATCCCCGCCATCTGTGACCGTAGCCTTAAGGTTATTAAAAGATACACAATTTCTAATTTTAGACTTAAAGCATATTTGTCTTGGAACTGGCTCAGCAGTATAAACAAAACTTTGATCCCGACCTTACACTGTCCTTCCCCAGCTTGTCCATTAAAAACTCAAGAATTATATAACAGCAATGCAGACTGAATATATATATATTTTTTTTTTATTAGGGATGTCCCAATACTGATACTAGTATCGTTATCGGTACCGATACTGGGCATTTTCAGGAGTACTTGAACTCCTGACAATGCCCCGATACTACAGGCCGATGCCAGCCTTTTACATGTTTAAAACGGATTGGCTGTTGAGGTCCCGCATTTGTGTGGACCAAGGCAGCCTGCTAGGGACCTGCAGGTACCCGTCCTTTGCGGTGCCTGTCCCGCCCCACATCTCCTTCTCCTCCTTCCCAACGCAGACACAGCCAAGGACAGCCCTGCACTTAAGAAACAGTCCCGGAGTCAGCAAAAGACCGGCACCTGATAGTTCAGCCCGTCGCCCATTCGTTCAGCCTGGTGCCCGCCCGCAGAGCCCCACATGCACTCTGGCCACATCTATACACTCCCCTGGTGACATGCAAACGCAGCCTTGGTGACATCTGTACGCAGCCCTGGTGAAACGCAACCCTAGTTACATCTGTACGCAGTACTGGTGACAGCTATACACTCCCCTGGTGAGACGCAAATGCAGCCCTGGTGAGACGCAAACGCAGCCCTGGTTACATCTGTACACAGCCTGGTGAGACGCAAACGCAGCCCTGATGTCATCTGTACACTTCCCTGATGAGATGCCATCTCAGCCCTGGTGATATGCAAACACAGCTCTGGTGACATCTGTATACAGCCTGGTGAGACGCAAACGCAGCCCTGGTGACATCTATATGCAGCCCTGATGAGACGCAAACGCAGCCCTGGTAAGAAACTGCCTCTAACTTTATTTATTTACTGCCTCATTAGCCTGTATTGTTTTAGAAAAAATGTCACGTGTCCCTTTAAGAAAAAGTATCGGTAATTGGTATCAGCGAGTACCTGAGGGAAAGCACTTGTACTTGGTCTTAACAAAATGGTATCGGGACATCCCTTATATACAGTGGGGCAAAAAAGTATTTAGTCAGCCACCAATTGTGCAAGTTCTCCCACTTAAAAAGATGAGAGAGGCCTGTAATTGGCATCATAGGTAGACCTCAACTATGAGAGACAAAATGAGAAAACAAATCCAGACAAATCACATAATCGGCTGATTTGGAACAAATTTATTTGCAAATTATGGTGGAAAATAAGTATTTGGTCACCTACAAACAAGCAAGAGTTCTGGCTCTCACAGACCTGTACCTTCTTCTTTAAGAGGCTCCTCTGTCCTGCACTCATTACCTGTATCAATGGCACCTGTTACATCACTGCTCTAGAGGAGATCTGCATGGAGGAATGGGCCAACATACCAGCAACAGTGTGTGCCAACCTTGTGAAGACGTACAGGACACGTTTGACCTCTGTCATTGCCAACAAAGGATATATAACAAAGTATTGAGATGACCTTTTGATATTGACCAAATACTTATTTTCCACCATAATTTGGAAATAAATTTGTTCCAAATCAGCCGATGTGATTTGTCTGGATTTGTTTTCTCATTTTGTCTCTCATAGTTGAGGTCTACCTATGATGCCAATTACAGGCCTCTATCATCTTTTTAAGTGGGAGAACTTGCACAATTGGTGGCTGACTAAATACTTTTTTGCCCCACTGTATATATTTTATTAAACAACTTGTTTGGCCCAAAGAGCCAAAACCAGAGAAGATGAATGTATTTTCTGTTTGACAATTCGCAGTCACAGAGAGAGTACAAGGGATGATGGGATATAGAAGAGATTTGTATTATATCGAGCACTTGCAGAGAGGAGTACTTTTCCAACCCGGGTTCAGCTGCAGCTACTGAGGAAAAGGAAACGATGCACATTTGGCATGACAGAGCTTTAACTTTCACACTCACCACAAACATGAAGACTGTGTAGAAAATGAGAGCCATGGCACTGAAAGACTGGATGGAGGCCATCATGTTGCGCTGAAGGCTAAGTGGAAGAACGATGCACAGTGACACAGCGAACAGGAGGAAGATCCGGAAACCTTCTGTCACCTACAAATATGGATATATAAAAAAAAAAAGAGAATGCAATAATGGCAAAAAGAAGTAACAGGGGAACACTTTTCACACCACTAGCACATGCTCGAAAGATTAGCCCACTCAAGAAAGTAGTTTTGGGTGCAGAACACAAGCTAAAATCAACCTACCCCCCGCACTGCAAGGGTTAAATGCTGGGAAATGTTCTTCTCAACCCTTGCAGTGGGGCTACCCCAGCACTGCAAGGGTTAAGTGCTTGTTTTCGTCTAGGGTGTAAAATAAAAAAATAAAAAGTTATACTCCTCACATTAATCACAGCTGAATGTCTATTAGACCGGTCCCTGAAGCCCCCCCCCGCTCCAGCAGTCTAAAGTCCCTGAATCATCAGGTCGAGTCCACAGTGTATAGGACATGAGAACACAGAGGGAAATCCATCTCTGCAGTGCAGGAGGAGCCAGGCTGCCTGAAGCGCTCTAGCAGCCGGGTGACTAACTTTTTTTTTTTTACACCCTAGATCAGGGGTAGGCAACCTCGGCTCTCCAGCGGTGCTAAAACTACAAATCCCATAAGGCATTGCAAGCCGCAGGCATGACTCCCAGAGGCAGTAGCATGATGGGATTTGTGGTTTCAGCCCAGCTGGAGAGCAAAGGTTGCCTACCCCTGCCCTAGTTGAAAACGAGTGCCTAACCCTTGCAGTGTGGGGGTAGCCCCCACTACAAGGGTCGAGAAAAACATTTCCCAGAGTTTCTTCAAGTGACTCAAAATCAGAGTCTCCGCAGCCAATGGCTCGGAAGCCGCTAAGGCCACGGGTAATTCTGATACAGATTCTGCTTGAAGGTGGCGCAGTGGTGACTTCTGCAATCAGAGTATGAAAACAACTATCGCTTCTCGGTCTTTCGGCTAAGATCAAGTGTAGTATCTGTTCTTATCCGTTGTTATCTGTGCCCTTATATAGGGTTCTCTGTCTCCTCCCACCCAGGAGGGGGTCTCTCTTCGGGAGGGCCCCCCTGCCTAGTACTGTGAGGGACCTGTTTCGGCAGGTCCCCAAAGGATCGGGGTCCGCCGGCCTTCGGGTTGGTGGACCAACAGTCTCAACCCCTGTCAGGAGCCTTGCGCCCCCGGGGGGTCGGGAATCTACGTCCCTTCTTTATTGAAGGGCCTTGCACCCTTGTGCACGTTTTTGTGTGCCGTGATTTCACGGTTCACTTTTTTTGTTCACAGGGGGAAGTTTGTTTAGATGCACATCCACGGGCTTCGGAAAAAAAAAAATATATAAAAACAACTAGGTAATTGGGGTCATAAGGTCCTTCATGGCCGTGGTGAAAACCCCAGCGGAGAGGGCCCAGCCACACCCAATTGAGCGAAGAGATTCAACTAACGGAGGACAATGTGATTCTAGGCTGCAGACACTGACATCGTGAGATGGAGGCCCCCCAGTACAGTGGGACTGTCACGTCTTGCAGCTTGGCATCAGGGGGCATCCCTGACCTATTTGCTTTCCCTCTCCTTTGGCACTGCATGAGCTCAAGGGTGGCCAAACTCACAGAAAGTTCACGAGGGAAAAAGTCCAGTCATACAGCCAGAACATGTGCTTCCACTTAACAACACAAGGAGCTCAGAGGTTCCAGCTGCAACGTTATTATCAGCGTGCTCATCCAGATATATACGCCCAGAACCGTATTAGAAAATGAAAATTATTTCCCCTTTAGTGAAATGTACAGAAAATGGGGCAAAGCAGCAACGTGCCGCGTTCATTACAAAATAGGGTTCTCGCTGTCGTTTTACCGAGACCCTTTTACCTCCTTTTTGAAGTGTTCCTCTTTAACAAACTTACCTGAAGGCCAAGCAAACGGGCAAAGAAAGAGGAGCCGAGGTCTCCGATTACAACGTAGAAGGCGATGCAGGTCCCCAGCATCAGTCCGATCATACTGTGGGAAAGAAAGACAATATTAAAGCAGAACTCCAACTTTGAGTGTAAAATAGTAATTGCATCTGTAATGACCCCTCCTGATCTGGTGTTCATTTTCCCCTCATGTCCCCAGTCTGTCTGTAAATAGACCCCTTGTCTATTTAATAGCATTATTTAGATAGTGTTATCTAAATAATGCTTAGGACTGCAGATGATTGCTCTAGTTCCGGCAGTGCGACAGTAAGGGGTCTATTCACAAACAATGTGCAGAGCCATTCACCCTGTGAATGTTCGTTCTGTCTGAATAAAAGGTAAAAACTAGGGATGCACCGATACCACTTTTTTACGACCGAGTGCGTGTACCGATACTTTTGATCAAGTACTCGCAGATACCAATTACCGATACTTTTTCTTAAAGGGACAGGTCACATTTTTTCTAAAGCAATACAAACTAATGCTTTAAGGTCACTTTCTTAATATTATGATTCATGAGATGACGAGGGAGCATGACGCCGGCTTCCCGGCCAATCAGAATGCCGGGCGCTGCGTCATTACACGGCGCCCGGCTTTGCTAGCTTCCTGACCAATCGGGAAGCCGGGCAGCGCGTCATTGCACGCTAACCGGCTTCCTGATTGGCCGGGAAGTCGGCTCCATGCTCTCTCATCACAAGTGACGAGAGAGCATGGAGCCGTTTCCTGGCCAATCAGGAAACCGGGCAGCTTCTAATTATGCGCAGGCCGGCTTCCTGATACAGGAAGTACTTGTGCTAGGTATCGGAGCATTTGGGCGAGTACGAGTTCTCACCCAAATACTCGGTATCGGCACCGATACTAGTATCGGTGTTCTTATTATATGTTTTCTTTTCAGGGCAAATGTAATACCGCATTGTGGCCACTAGATGGAGAGAGGGAGCATAAGCAATAAATATTTATGTCCTATGCTCCTCAGCTCCCACTACTGCCCATAATGTGGTATTACATTACATTCAACCTGAAAAGAAAGCTTGGTCAAGGACCACCCCAGCCTGTGGTGGATAGTGAAGAAGTAGTAACACACAGATTTCTTTCTTTGAGGGTCAGTCGGGCCAGGCAATTCCCCACCCGCAGCTGCACGTAAACAAAAGAGCGGGTTGCTCCGACGTCATTGGCCATAATTTGGCTGCATTTGGTCAACAGCGTTGACCTAATATGGCCATATAGGGTCAATGATGTCGGCACAAGCATCCCTTTTTTTGGTTTATGAGCAGCTGCGAGTTGGGGAATGCCCTGGCCCACAGCTGATTTGGTGGGTAGCCCCATGTCCCTTCCAGGTTTGGAGGAGCCAAGGTCTAGACCAGGTTCAGTCTGAACCAGCTCATTCCTACTGGTCACGTGACCACTGCAAATTGGGAGGAACAGAGTTTTAGACCTGCTGGCCCTCCTCTTCTACTGTGATCACATGACCAAATGCCTAGACCTGACCTGCTCAAGATGTAACCAGGAGAAGCATTTTCTATTACTCTTCTTTTTTGGCAGAAGTCCCTGCCCGCAAGCTTCTGGGTGGTGGGAGGTAACTGGATCCCCCAGACACAGAATAGAACAGAATTGTGGTCTTTGGATAACCACAATTCTATTCAGAGGCTTGGTATTGAAGCCAACGACAGCCAAGCAAATAACATTTTATTTAAGTGCCTGCATTGCCCTCATGACAGGTTCCCTTCACAACGAATCTCAGTGCTCACCTTGTCTCCACCAGCATTTTCCCAGCTTTTCCGTAGGCATGAAAGGCTACAAGAGAGGAGGAACAGTAAATATTTTTTGCACGGCAAAGGCAAAATACACAGAAAGATCAAAAGAAAACGCACGCATGCCTGCGATTGTTGTGTCATGTTCCCATCCGTCCTTCGCACACACACAGTACTATTATTGTGTTGTCACAGACCAGCTCCCCATCAGATGTGGGATTTCAGATTACAGCCGCGCGAGTTATTGCACACGAGACCGCGGCGGTAATAAACTGGTGCAATCTATAGATCAAAGCAGCTGTACAGTAAACTGCGGTGTGGCCGCCTTCTGTCCGTTCTGACACCGTGCCACTGACGGAAGCATCCAGCCATAAACTTGGCGTTCAGAGCCGTACGGGAGGGCGAAAATAAATACAGGAGGAAATTCAATGCGAGTCGGCTTGAAAAACACAGACTGCTGAAAAACCTTCTTATATCATTCCCGGGTTTCATATAACGGACATTGCACAGAGCGCCATACAGTACAACGGGTCCACTCACATCAGTCCCTGTCCCCCAAAAGGAACAGACTAATGTACCCCTCACACTCGTACAAATATTAGTGGAAGGATGCCAATTAAAGCTGGACTCTGGCCAGGGACACCAGACCCATCCAGCTAAAAAACACAAATCAACTGGCCCAACACAGATTCAGGTAAGTAGTCATGTGCTGCGCCATGTCCCTAGTCTTCTATACTGCAGTGGAAGGATCCTTGTTTAGATGCCAAGGTCACCACATCATGAAACATTTCTCACCACATGGGTCCATCAGCAGGATCTTCAAAGGGTCCTGAAGACTCCAGCGGCGGCATGATGATGTCACAAAAAGAACAGTTGGCAGCGGGTTTGGGATACAGTGGTGGATCACCATTCTTCACTCCCGGAAGAAATACCACGGGGTCAGAGCAAGATGGCCAGGGACACCAGACCCACCCAGCTAAAAAACACAAACCAACTGGCCCGAACACAGATTCAGGTAAGTAGTCATGTGCTGCGCCATGTCCCTAGTCTTCTATACTGCAGTGGAAGGATCCTTGTTGAGATGCCAACGTCACCACCTGATGACATAGACACTTCCCACCACCTGAGTCCATCAGCAGGATCTTCAAAGGGTCCTGAAGACTGCAGCGGTGGCATGAGGATATCACAACAAGACCGGTTGGCATTGTGCTTGGGATACAGTGGTGGATCACCATTCTTCACTACAGGAATTGCTTTGGTTTGCATGGGGATAGGCTTGGGTGGGTTGGTTTGCATGGGGATAGGCATGGGGGGTTACATTGGTTTGTTGGGGGTTGGCTTGGTTTGCATGGGGATAGGCTTGGGTGGGTTGGTTTGCATGGGGATAGGCATGGGGGGTTACATTGGTTTGTTGGGGGTTGGCTTGGTTTGCATGGGGATAGGCTTGGGTGGGTTGGTTTGCATGGGGATAGGCATGGGGGGTTACATTGGTTTGTTGGGGGTTGGCTTGGTTTGCATGGGGATAGGCTTGGGTGGGTTGGTTTGCATGGGGATAGGCATGGGGGGTTACATTGGTTTGTTGGGGGTTGGCTTGGTTTGCATGGGGATAGGCTTGGGTGGGTTGGTTTGCATGGGGATAGGCATGGGGGGTTACATTGGTTTGTTGGGGGTTGGCTTGGTTTGCATGGGGATAGGCTTGGGTGGGTTGGTTTGCATGGGGATAGGCATGGGGGGTTACATTGGTTTGTTGGGGGTTGGCTTGGTTTGCATGGGGATAGGCTTGGGTGGGTTGGTTTGCATGGGGATAGGCATGGGGGGTTACATTGGTTTGTTGGGGGTTGGCTTGGTTTGCATGGGGATAGGCTTGGGTGGGTTGGTTTGCATGGGGATAGGCATGGGGGGTTACATTGGTTTGTTGGGGGTTGGCTTGGTTTGCATGGGGATAGGCTTGGGTGGGTTGGTTTGCATGGGGATAGGCATGGGGGGTTACATTGGTTTGTTGGGGGTTGGCTTGGTTTGCATGGGGATAGGCTTGGGTGGGTTGGTTTGCATGGGGATAGGCATGGGGGGTTACATTGGTTTGTTGGGGGTTGGCTTGGTTTGCATGGGGATAGGCTTGGGTGGGTTGGTTTGCATGGGGATAGGCATGGGGGGTTACATTGGTTTGTTGGGGGTTGGCTTGGTTTGCATGGGGATAGGCTTGGGTGGGTTGGTTTGCATGGGGATAGGCATGGGGGGTTACATTGGTTTGTTGGGGGTTGGCTTGGTTTGCATGGGGATAGGCTTGGGTGGGTTGGTTTGCATGGGGATAGGCATGGGGGGTTACATTGGTTTGTTGGGGGTTGGCTTGGTTTGCATGGGGATAGGCTTGGGTGGGTTGGTTTGCATGGGGATAGGCATGGGGGGTTACATTGGTTTGTTGGGGGTTGGCTTGGTTTGCATGGGGATAGGCTTGGGTGGGTTGGTTTGCATGGGGATAGGCATGGGGGGTTACATTGGTTTGTTGGGGGTTGGCTTGGTTTGCATGGGGATAGGCTTGGGTGGGTTGGTTTGCATGGGGATAGGCATGGGGGGTTACATTGGTTTGTTGGGGGTTGGCTTGGTTTGCATGGGGATAGGCTTGGGTGGGTTGGTTTGCATGGGGATAGGCATGGGGGGTTACATTGGTTTGTTGGGGGTTGGCTTGGTTTGCATGGGGATAGGCTTGGGTGGGTTGGTTTGCATGGGGATAGGCATGGGGGGTTACATTGGTTTGTTGGGGGTTGGCTTGGTTTGCATGGGGATAGGCTTGGGTGGGTTGGTTTGCATGGGGATAGGCATGGGGGGTTACATTGGTTTGTTGGGGGTTGGCTTGGTTTGCATGGGGATAGGCTTGGGTGGGTTGGTTTGCATGGGGATAGGCATGGGGGGTTACATTGGTTTGTTGGGGGTTGGCTTGGTTTGCATGGGGATAGGCTTGGGTGGGTTGGTTTGCATGGGGATAGGCATGGGGGGTTACATTGGTTTGTTGGGGGTTGGCTTGGTTTGCATGGGGATAGGCTTGGGTGGGTTGGTTTGCATGGGGATAGGCATGGGGGGTTACATTGGTTTGTTGGGGGTTGGCTTGGTTTGCATGGGGATAGGCTTGGGTGGGTTGGTTTGCATGGGGATAGGCATGGGGGGTTACATTGGTTTGTTGGGGGTTGGCTTGGTTTGCATGGGGATAGGCTTGGGTGGGTTGGTTTGCATGGGGATAGGCATGGGGGGTTACATTGGTTTGTTGGGGGTTGGCTTGGTTTGCATGGGGATAGGCTTGGGTGGGTTGGTTTGCATGGGGATAGGCATGGGGGGTTACATTGGTTTGTTGGGGGTTGGCTTGGTTTGCATGGGGATAGGCTTGGGTGGGTTGGTTTGCATGGGGATAGGCATGGGGGGTTACATTGGTTTGTTGGGGGTTGGCTTGGTTTGCATGGGGATAGGCTTGGGTGGGTTGGTTTGCATGGGGATAGGCATGGGGGGTTACATTGGTTTGTTGGGGGTTGGCTTGGTTTGCATGGGGATAGGCTTGGGTGGGTTGGTTTGCATGGGGATAGGCATGGGGGGTTACATTGGTTTGTTGGGGGTTGGCTTGGTTTGCATGGGGATAGGCTTGGGTGGGTTGGTTTGCATGGGGATAGGCATGGGGGGTTACATTGGTTTGTTGGGGGTTGGCTTGGTTTGCATGGGGATAGGCTTGGGTGGGTTGGTTTGCATGGGGATAGGCATGGGCGGTTACATTGGTTTGTTGGGGGTTGGCTTGGGTGGGTTGGATTGCATGAGGATAGGCTTGGGTGGGTTGATTTGCTTGGGAATAGGTTTGGGTGGGTTGGTTTGCATGGGTATAGGCTTGGGTGGGTTGTGGATGTAAATGTTATATCTGGATACATTGTCACCACAAAATAATTTCAGCACACAGGCCTGCCACTGATTTAAATCAAACCGTCAAATATTTGGCTAATAAGAGGAATATCTCTTCTCCAGCCGAATACACTTCCCAATTGTTTGCTGAAGTAT